GCCCCCCGCCCCAGCATCCAGTGTCATGCTCACACTCCAGGGTTATGTTATGTTGGGAGGAGCAACTGTTCTAGGATTCTCTCCCCACTGGTAGCTTCCTGCAGGCTGTCTTCCCTGGTACTTTCTGAGAATTGGCTCTAATGGAGCCTGAATTACTTGCCTTTGCCCCTTCGCCTTGTGGTGACTGTGCCCTGCCCGGTGTCCCATCCCCTTGCTGAGTGACCATCAGGGTTGTGGTTTGCCCAGGGGGAAGAAGTGAATGCTGGAAGAATTGGCCTGACCATCGTCATTGCAGGAATGCTCGGGGCCATGATCTCGGGCATCTGGCTGGATAGGACCAAAACCTACAAGTAAGTGACTTCCTCCTGGACTGAGAATTGGGGACCAGTGTTTTGAAATGACACATTCATTAGCAATACAGCACTAAAGGTTTGGGTGCAGCAGCTGGGGGTCTGAGTGGTCAACTAGGCAGTTGAAATTTATCTTCTCTGAGCCTCAGTTTCCCTATTTATAAAATGAGGTAAGCAATACCTGCACCGTGGGGATCTTCGGAGGACTAGAGATGGAGGACATGATGCCTAGTGCAGCACCTTCCCCAATCTCACCCCCAAGTAGCAGTGGAAGGAGTGGATGAGGGAGAAATGAAAATGAACATGGAAAAATGTCAGCAGTTGGGAAATTTGTGGAAAGTCCAAGGAGCAGAGATGAGGAGGTGATTCCACTGCACCATTCCCATGACTCCCTGTTGGACCCTGTGGGTTAACAAGGTGCTCTGTGCTTCCTCCGGGCTGCAGTGTTATCTTGCAATTGCTTACACCTCATTGGTGTAATTGGTAAATATGGGGATGTGCTTTGGGCCTGAATGTCCAGTGTGTTTCTAAGAGCCACTATGATTTTACTGTATGCCAGGCTAATCCAGGATGCTTGTTAGAAACACAGATTCCTGGGCCCCACCCTCAGGATGCCAGTTCAGTAGGAGAATCTGCATTTGTAAAAAGCAACCCAGATGGCTCAATTCCGTAGTGAGCCTTGGAGAAAAGGCTCTGGAGAACAGAGGCCCAACTTCCTTCCCTTCTTGTTGTGTCTTTCCAGTGCTCTGCATGCATTGGGTGCACAATTAATGCTGGCCCACAGCGTAGCTGTGAGGGTTGTCCAGCGCTGGGGCATGGCAGTACTCTGGGCCCCTTTGTCAAGGCCTCCAAAGTTTCCAGGGTCTGGAGGCGACAGACAGTAGCAGAGCTGTTCTCTCCACACAAACCCGCTTCTGTGAGGCTCTGGTCAGACCAGGTCTCACTCTGGCCACCCTAGTCCAAGGCCATTGAGGCCATCCCTGGGGCTGTGGCCGCCTGGCTGAGCACGACGAGGAGCCTGGCTCGGCTTAATTACTGCTGGTGGAGCTTGGCTGCCGTCTCGTCTCTGCCACCTGTCAATTGCTTGCTTCAGCCAGACACGAGAGCAGTGAGGACTGGCCACTCCCAAACCAGTGGACAGCAGTGTCCCTTTTTCCAGGGCTTGCCCTGTGGCAGGAGAAGGGAGGGATTGGAATGTCGGCTGGGCTGGGATGTGGGCAGCCAGATGATTCAGATGAACTAGAAAATAGAACGAAAGGGCTGGGGAGGACACTTCAGAACCTGTCGTCACCAGTTCCTGGTGTCACTTGATGTCTCAGTCCTGCAGTCAACAGGAGGCATTCTTCTGTCTGCACTGCTACCCAGGCAGAGAAAGGAGGAGAGGGCTCTGTGATCTGGATATTTCGGTGGCAGTTCCCTCCTCCCTAAGGCTCCGAGATTTGTCCCCTTTGGTTTGGAGGCTGGAAATTGGGTGGTCCAGTCCCTTTATTTCAGGCTGGGACTACAGACAGTTTTTCTAGACGGGTCAGTGGTTTGAGATGAAGCTATGGTGAAACAAATATGGCAAAATATGAGCTTGTGGGTTAGTGAGAGAGCCTGGTGTCCATGAAGCTGCATTCTGCAGGGGGTGGCATGAGGGGAGGGGAACAGGAGTGGGGAAGAGGAAGCTCATGTACCCTCAGCAGCTGCTCTGAGCACCAGGTGGGAGGGGCTTTCTTCAGAGGCTCTGGCCTTAAGCTTTTCCAAAGATGCAACCACACGGTATATTAGTATTCCTGTGTGCAGTGGTAGAAAAAGTGCTGGATTCAAATCCCAGCTCTGGGTTCAAATCCCAGCTCTGCATTTACTCAGCGGGTGACTTTGGTCAAATAACTGGACTGAGCCTCAGTTTCCTCATTCATAAAATCAGGGGTAGCCATGCATTTCTTGCAGGGATTTGTGAGGGTTGGGGGAAATCAAACGCCTGTTAAGTGCTTGACAGAATGCCTGGCACCCAGTAAGTGCAGTATCAGTTGGACATAACCGTAGTCTACGTCTCCTGGCGCCCCCACCGTGTTTCTGGCCTCAGGAGAGGAGTGAAGCCTGTAAGCTTTCATCCTCTGAGTCCTGATGTTCGGGCAGGAGGGCGGAGGGCTGTGTGGAGCCTGGGCCCTGCAGTGAGTAGGGCAGGGAGAGGAATGCAGGTCCAGCTGCAGGAGTCGGGGTTGCAGCAGAGTCCTGCCTGGGCTGCATGGGAGGAGACGTGTGTGGAGGGGACTAGCAGGGTGAGCCCGAAACAGAAACCAGCACGTTGCTGATGGTCCTTCTGAGGGGACAGACAAAGGGAAGTGTCACAGGGAGAGGGTGGAGGGTTCTCACTTTGGCTTTGGAGTCAAGCATTTAGTTCAGGGCTGTAGAATGTTCTCTTAGTTCTGCTGTCTGGAGCAGAGTGGCTCAGATTCCGCAGGAAAAGCTGTGCTGGACCTGTGCACGTGGCGACAGGAAGAACTTAGAGACCACAGAGAGAACCGAAAAGGCACACTGGCCAGCATTGTCGTGGGGCTTGGGGCAAAGCAGACAAGCAGAATTGGATGGCTTCTGGGAGAGTTCTGCACGCCACTGCCGCCTGACCAGAGCTGATGTTGTCCTGTTTGGTTTTTTGGTGCGGGATGAGGAAAGGAAAGGGCCGGACCTTATTGCTTGTGGGTAGGACATGACAAGTCAAGCTGCAGCTCGATGTTTTTGAGAGGCTTCTGCAGGAGGAGAATGCACGTGCAGCAAGACAGCTTCGTACTTCCTGGTCTTACCCTTTGTAGCAGTGACCGCAGTGTAATTCAGTAGTTATTTGTGTGATCATTGGTTCAGTGGCCATCAACCTCATGGACAGAAATTTCCGTGAGAACAGATGTCCCAGCACACAGCAGAGGGCTTGACACACAGCAGGTGCCCCACAGATACTTGCAGAATGATTGAACGAACGAATGAATGGATGGATGGATGATCCTGTTAAAGTCGGAATTGTGTGACTCAACTTCTCTGCCTCTGCTTGTAGGGAGACAACCCTCGTGGTCTATATCATGACCCTGGTGGGCATGGTGGTGTACACATTGACCTTGAACCTGGGACACCTGTGGGTAGTGTTCATCACCGCTGGCACAATGGGGTAAGTTTCACCTCTAACCCGTTTAACTGGGAAGCACCATCCCGTGCCTTCTAGAGCTGCCGCCATCCTAGGAAGCCATATTGATCCCTCTGCTGCCTTCTCACTGAGCTCTGGAGATGCACGTGGACATGGTGCTCAGAGCTCTTGTTTCCTTGCAGCACTTCAAAAGGCCGCCTGGGGCCCCCAGGCCCATCCATGCTGTTGGGACAGAGGATGTCCTTCACACACCTCTGGGAGGCTAGGAAATGTTTTTTAGCTCTTCCTGGGACAACACGGGGTCACAACAGAGGGCCGAGAGTCAGCAAGTCTGGGTCCTGGTCTCAGCTCTGCTGCTGACTATCTGTTAGACCACAGGCCCATCACTTAACTGCTCTGAGCCTCACTTTCCTCATCTGTAAATGAAGATGAGTGGCCTGCCTTGTCGAGTTGTTAGAAGGATTGAGAGAGATAATAGATGTGAAAGCAGCGAGAAGTGTGGTATAGATGTAAAAAATTAGAATTGGAATTTTCTAGACCTGTTGTTTGAGAAAGTGTAAGAAATGGTCCCCTTTTCACAGGGGTGTCTGCTGAGCTTCACCTCCCAATTATTTCTGTGTAGGTACTACCTGAGTCTGTGTGTGTGTATGTGTGTGTGAAAGAGAGAGATTCAGGGACAAAGACAGACAGACACTCAGTCCTTCTCAGCTGGTGACTCTTTGGAGAAAAATAATGAGGACTCTGAGCTCCTCCTTCTAGGTCCCCGAGAGCGATTGAGATGCTGTTCAATATCCGGGAACTTCCCACTCCCAGCACAGGGCCTGTGTACCCAGGACACAGAATTTCTTAGCTGAGGTCTGAATACTCCAGGCAACCGCACCCCTTCTGTAAATGCTCACTCTGTGTGTAATTGATGGCTGGACGGAGAAGCAGCAGGGACCTCCAAGGGCCTCCTGAACAGAAAGCTTCCATGTGAACTTCTTCCCGGTCTGCAGGGGTCTCTGTTTCCTTAGTATGGCCACCTAGTGGATGGCTTGATCCATTCAAGGGCCTAGCATGTCTTTTTCTTTTTTTTTTTACAGTACCATGGTTTGTGTATAGTTTTTTTTTTGATTGTGACATTTTTGTTGTACATTATTATTTGTCAGTCACCATGTAAGTGCATCCCTCCACCCCTTGTACCCACTCCCCACCCCCCTTGCTCCTGGTAACCACCAAACAGTTCTATCTGTCCATGTGTTGGTTTATCTTCCACATATGAGTGAAATCATGCACTGTTTGTCTTTCTCTTTCTGGCTTATTTCACTTAACATAATACCCTCCAGGTCCATCCATGTTGTTGCAAATGGGACGATTTTGTCTTTTTTTATGGCTGAGTAGTATTCCATGATATATATATATACCACATCTTTATCCAATCATCCTTCGAGGGACACTTAGGTTGCTTCCATGTCTCGGCTATAGTGAATAATGCTGCGATGAACATAGGGGTCCACAGGCCTCTTTGGATTGTTGATTTCAGGTTCATTGGGTAGATACCCAGTAGTGGGAATAGCTGGATCATAAGGTATTTCTATTTTTAATTTTTTGAGGAATTTCCATACTGTTTTCCATAGAGGCTGCACCAGTTTGCATTCTCACCAGCAGTGGATTAGGGTTCCCATTTCTCCACAGCCTCTCTAGCATTTGTTGTTTTTTGTCTTGTGATTATAGCCATTCTAATGGGTGTAAGATGATATCTTAGTGTGGTTTTGATTAGCATTTCCCTGATGATTAGTGATGTTGAACATCTTTTCATGTGCCTATTGGCCATCTGTATATCTTCTTTGGAGAAGTGTCTGTTCGTTTCCTCTGGCATGTCTTGATGGGGAGAAACAAACAGGAAAGTTCTAAGGGAGGAGATGGACTCCCCATCCTTCTTGGCTGGAAGTTCTCCATCACCTTGTTTCTGTGATCTGGCCTTTAGCTTCTTTATGACTGGCTATCTCCCACTGGGATTTGAGTTTGCTGTGGAGCTGACATACCCAGAATCAGAAGGCATGTCGTCTGGCCTCCTCAACGTGTCTGCTCAGGTAAGGCTCTTATTTGGTGGTGGCTCCAAAGCAGTGGCTCTTGGTTCCCTGCCCATCTTAGCTCGTGCAGACACTGCATTGTGGCAGCTCAGTTCCCCCTTGGGCTAGTTGGCTGAGCGCTTATTTCCAGTCTTCTTTATGCCTTTCCAGGTATTTGGGATCATCTTCACCATCTCCCAGGGCCAGATTATTGACAACTATGGGACCTTGCCCGGGAACATCTTTCTGTGTGTGTTCCTCACCCTTGGAGTAGCCATCACTGGTGAGTTGGGGCCTCAGGACAAGATGACACTCAGGCTGCTCATGCGCTTAGGTTGTTGGCACTTTGGGACCCCAGGGTCTTGATTGAGCATACAGATTGGGGGCACACATGCAGAAGGAATGGCTTATTTGGAAATCTGTTTGGGAGGCAGTAGCATGTTTTGGTGGAATGAGCATGGGCTTTGGTGCCAAAAGACCCTCGTTTGAATCCCAGACTGTGACTCTGACCTCCATAGCTGTTTGATCTTGGCCAAGTGAACCAACTTCTGGGAGCCTCACTTTCCTCGTCTGTAAAATGGGGACTGTTGTGAGGATTAGAGCAGTGTGTGCAAACTCCGTGGCAAATATAAGTGATCTATAAATGAAGGCCAGTGTCATCATTGGCTTCTGCCTGTCAGGGACAGCAGCGATCCCCAGGCTTTATCAAGTTGGTTGATGGTACCCCCAGCTCCCTGGGATATCTGAAGTAGGTCTGGGATACCTGTGACCATAAGGAAAATGAGGCCTCCCTCTCTTGGATGAACTTGACCATTGGTCGGCTTCATAACTCTGTGTCTCTGTTGCTTTTTCTTCTTGATCCCTCGACCTCAGCATTCATTAAGGCAGATCTCCGGAGGCAGAAAGCGAATAAGGAAACCCCTGAGAATGTGAGTATGGGGGAGCTTGCTGGGCAGAGTTCTGGGTTCTGGGCATTGGCTGAGGATGTGGCAGCAGGGGTGGGGGTTGGGGGAGCTCCCGAAGTGGACTGGTTTCGTGGTGGCTGTGAAACCAACTCAACTCACAAACATGGCGCCCAGAGAGTTTCCTCAGTGGGTGTTTCAGCACTGCTTTTCTGCTGCTCTTTCCCGGGCTCTTTTCCCACTTCCTGCCCTTCTCCTGGCCTCCCTGCTCTGGTCCCCAGAGCACATCACTGTTGTCACAGTCTGCTGAGTAGTGTCCACCCCAGATCCTGACACAAGTCCTGAGGCCCTGGCTCCGCTGCTTTCAGCCTGGGGTCAGTGGCTGGAGAGCAAAGGTGGAAGCCAGGCTCGACCATTCTGTCCTGGTGGTGATGGCCCCAAGGCAGTGGCTCTCCTGGCATGTGACGACCCCTTAGGCAGTGGGATGGAGATGGAGGGACTAGAGCCAACGGATTTCCAGTAGGGCTTTAAAAGGACAGTTCAGGAAGTAGGAGCAGTTGGTGGTAGAAGGGAAGAGGATCAGGAGTATGATCTAGAACAGAAAAGTGTTTCCCTGGGGCCGGCCCGGTGGCGTAGTGGTTAAGTCTGTGTGCTCCGCTGTGGCGGCCCAGGGTTTGATCCTGGGTACGCACTGACGCACCGCTTGTCAGGCCATGCTGTGGCGGCGTCCCATGTAAAGTGGAGGAAGATGGGCAACGATGTTAACCCAAGATGGGCACGGATGTTAGCCCAGGGCCAGTCTTCCTCAGCAAAAAGAGGAGTATTGGCATGGATATTATCTCAGCACTGATCTTCCTCACACACACAAAAATATATAAAAAAAAAAAAAAAAAGAAAGAAAAGTGTTTCCCATCTGCTCTAATCAGCTGGGAACTATTTTAACCAAAATGTTAGGTATCAAATCTGAGCCAGGAAGAAAGGAATAACAAATCTGAGGAGTAAAAGTGGGATATTTCTTAAAAAACAAACAAAGCACCCAAAACCTATTAGAGAGGTAATACAGCTTCTTTGTAGAAAAACTAAAAAATACAAAAAAGTGTACAAAATTTAAAAATCACCCTGTAATACATTCATCTAGAGATGAGATACTGTTTTTTTGCATTTACTTATACATGTCTACATCCATATATAATATATAGCCATGGATATCTATGTATTTTTTTTAAAACAAAATTGGAATCTTCAATCTGCTTTTTTACTTGTGAACACTGTATCAGGTCATTAGTCTATTACAACATACTTTTAATGACTGCACCATATTTTAATGAGTGCACATGGATAAACTATGATTTGTTTGACAGTTTTCCTGTCCATGGACATTAAGGTTGTTTCCAGTTGTTGTTATAAACAATATTGTGGTTAATGTCCTGGAAGCTGAATCTTTGTGCATGTTCTTAAGCACAGTATTTCCTTGAGAAATGGATCAGCGGTCGAGCACATTTTTTTTTTTTTTTTTTGTGAGGAAGATCAGCCCTGAGCTAATATCTGTGCTAATCCTCCTCTTTTTGCTGAGGAAGACCAGCTCTAAGCTAACATCTATTGCCAATCTTCCTCCTCTTTTTCCCCCAAAGCCCCAGTAGATAGCTGTATGTCATAGTTGCACGTCCTTCTAGTTGCTGTATGTGGGACACGGCCTCAGCATGGCTGGAGAAGCGGTGCGTCGGTGCGCGCCCGGGATCCGCACCCGGGCCGCCAGTAGCGGAGCGCGCGCACTTAACCACTAAGCCATGGGGCCGGCCCTCGAGCACATTTTTAAGACCTTGATATATTGCTAAACTGTTCTCTAGAAAAGTACCACCGATACTAACAATTTATATGCTATAGCAGTGTATGAGTGCCAACACTGAGTATTTACCATTTTGAAAAATCTTTACCAGTTTTCTAAGGCAAAAAACGGTATGTGAGGGACTGGCCGCGTGGTGTACTGGTTAAGTTCAGCATGCTCTCCTTTGGCGACCTGCGTTCACAGGTGCAGGTGCCAGTGTGGACCTACACCACTCCTCAGCCATGCTATAGCTGCGACCCACATAAAAAGTAGAGGAAGACTGGCGACAGATGTTAGCTCAGGGCGAATCTTCCTCTGCAAAAAAATTTAAAAAATAAAATAAAATAATGGTATCTGAAAGAGGTATATTTAGCGTTTTAAGGATACATGTTGGCAGATAGATGATGATCTTTAGTTCTTTACCATTTGTCTTCTGATATCGGGCTCTCGAGTTGGCAGGCAGCGGTGGGCAACATGTGGCGGGAGGGGCCTAGGACAGGAAATTTAGTGGGGAGACAGGGAACACCTTGGAGCAGAAACGCTGTCTCTAGCCAGGGTGAGGTCATGGCGTTTCCACTGTGGGGACGGGCGCTCCCCTGTGCCATGTACAAGGAAACATAATGATCTGCAACACTTTGGTAACTATATAGTGGGCCTGGGCCAAGATGCCCGTAATAAAACGGGATAGATTTCTCGTGAAAAGGTTTCAATTTGGAATGTGACATATTGTGTCAAGTGATATGGGATTTTGCTGTGTTTACGTTAGAATCTGTGTTTACGTTGGCAGATATAGTCAAACAAGAAGAATGTAAAGGTCACCTACAGTCCTTGCACCCCCAGACAACCTAGGAACATTTTAGCCCACTTTTCTATGGGTGTGCTTGTGCACATTTGGTTTTCTACCTGCTTGTTTACTTAGTATAGCTTGACAGCCTTGCCTTTCCACACCATTGATTTTACAGCCTCATATCTACATATATGTATTTCTGTTTCCTCTCATTTAGTGTTTAGTTTGGTCCAGTATTTCACTCTTATTGCAGCCAGATCCTTGTGCACATGGACCGGGTTTGTTAGTCAAGGTTGGAGCTGTCGGCTCAGCCACCTTCTGTACGGAACATTGGAAATAGCACTGAGTAGGAATACAAGACTTGAGTGTGGTGCTGGCGCTCAACTCTCTGTGTCCATGGATAACTCACTCTGCGTCTCTGGGCCTCACTTGTATCTGGGCCAGCTTAGTGTTATGGGGCAGTCAGAGTCATGCTGGGCTGACACCCAGGGAAGCCAGGGCTGTCACAGAGCATCCCTCCTCTGGAGCCCGTCCATCATTACACACCCCATGGCGGTCAGTGTAAGCGAGACCTGCACAGAGCACACGAATTCATTATCAGAGCCAGGGGAAGACAGGGCACGCAGCAGACCTATCCAGAGCTGCTCTTCCTAATCTGTGAGGTGTACAGCTTTAGTAAAAAGAGACAGAACTTCTGGGATGGTGTAACGCCTGACTATGAAAATCTTGGTTTGGTTTCCATTTTTCTTCCAGCTGGTAGTTCTCAGCCGTCAGTGGCTGTGCTTCCTTCCCCACTAGCCTGGGTTTCTGATTGCGATTTCAAGGTGATGGCTCTGCGGAGGCAGGCGTGTCTGTGTGCGTGTGTGGCAGAGATAGAGCCTGCCTGGTTGACTGAAGTAGGCTGCTAGTTGCCTGAGCGAAGGCTTCTCATGACCGAGGCTGACCTGGTGCCAGAAGGTTAGCAAGACTGAGGATGCGAAGGTTGGATTTCCACAGCTGTGGCCACTGCCAGGGACTGGCCCGGAGATACTCCCTGGGGAAGAAGCACCACTGTCGGATTGAGACTGGACTGCAGCTTGGCCCTGCACACCCTCCTCCAGCCGAGTGGTGTGGACTGTGCAGGGCTGTGCCTGGGCCCGAGGCCTTCTCACTAACTAGAGCTAAGCAGCAAAGTGTTCCTTAAAACAGCAGACAAATGTGCAAGGTGGCAGTGTGCACCTGGGGGCCCTAGAGGATGATTTCCAGGCCATATTTAATTCCTGGAATTCCTTTAGTTCCATATTTAAACTCACCTAACAAGTGTGACCCAGAAGACTCTCCTAATCCTGTGCCACCCCTCCCTGGGAAAGCCACAGCCAAACTGACCCAAAGTCTTTTTTTCTATCCATAAAGTGCATAGACATATTTGTAGCCACTGAGTTTATATTGTTAGGCATCCTGCCTTTATAAAAATTCTCTGTTGCATCCATTCCATACACATCATCATAATGTTCCTCATCCTGGGGGGCTGCTTCCAAATGGGGGTAGTCGGAAATTCTGCGGGAGTTGCAGACCGGGCAGTTGGGACAGCTGCTTGATGCTCAGTCCAGGTGACCTTTAGGCTGTCAGCACGGCGAGGGCGAGAGCGTGGAACCTGGCACTCGGACTGGGATGGTTTGTGGTGGCTGTGGCATCACAGAAAGCTGGACTGTGTTTTCCTTTATGTTGTGATGGTGTGTGTGTGTGTGTGTGTGTGTGTGTGTGTTTGGGGAGCACACCTGTGGCAGGGGCTGGTTGCTTTTCTCTTGTTCCCTTTGTTCACTCTTGGGGACACAGAGTGGCCTCTGACTCTTGTGTTTCCCACGGATACAGTCACTCACAGGCAGCGGCTCCAGCCAGGGTGGAGTCCTGTGTCTCTTCACCCAAAGGGCCGCCTGCTTGTCTTGCCTTGTAGAAACTCCAAGAGGAGGAGGAGGAGG